CAAATAGTTATTAATTAAAACAAATAGTAATTAATGTATAATAATATCCATAACTACATCTAAAAGAATGTTGTTTTTGATAAAAGTTAAAAAGTAATCATAAATACATAAAAAATGTGTATATTGTTGAAAATTCCTTTTTTCACAATATAGCTATTTAATTTGGGCTATGTTAATGCTTATTACCTAAACAATAATAAGACTGAATATTTTTTTAAACATTAAAGTATATTTAATGACATCTCCCTAATAGTGGTCATGATCTGTAAAAAAAAAAAAAAAAAATGACACTTGTCTTATACTCAAGTGAGTCATTCAATGATAAATGACTCTGCCACATGCAGGTCCAGGCCGTTAACCAGTAAAATCAGTTTGACACTGATACCATATAGACATTACTAAATACACTCCCTATGATTATTATAATATTTAATAATATAAGAGGTTGAACGTTTAGTACAATAACCAAGGATTTTCCAACCATATGCCGTATGTGTAGACTAAAATTATAAATACAAGATTAAACAAAGACTACTAAATACCTATTTATCATGGTGTCTCTTGTAGAAAGTGAGGGTTCTGAGGAACTCTAGTTGAGAAACACTGTGATAATAATATCCAAATGTTGGACAATTTTTGTCTTTATTTTCACCCAAAATCAAAGCAAATATACAGAGTTTAGAATGGCTCATGATCAAATATAAGATATTTATTGTCTGTTATATTTAACACATACATATATATATATATATATATATATATATATATATATATATATATATATATATATATATATATATATGCATCTGTAAATCTATCAACTGGTGTGACAGTCTATCACTAATTTTGTTTCTCATTTCTTGCAGGTCATTCAAGAACTAGTAGCAGCCCATACCAGTCCCATTCTTCAGTATTAAGTCCATACACCACAAGTGATATGTCCAGGTACAGCCCCAGACGACAAGATGTCAGCAGTAGAACCTATCATGAACCAACTACAGCTACCAGCAGGCAGTATCCGTTAAGCAGCCGCTCCTTTGGAACTGCTGATAACTCACCTGGCAGAACATATAAAAGGAATTCACCATTAACTGAACGAGGTTCACCTGTTTCTAGGGCATCAAGGTGAGTAAAATAAGACTGAAATAAAAAAAAAAAAAACACACACAAATAGATTTTAATTATTTTTAGGTTGATTTCAATCTATAGGAATGACTGTAGAAACATCCCCCTCCCCAAACTTATAGACCAACCATACAGATGCATGCTGGGATTTCTTCTTAGCCAATAATCAATAAGATAGGCCACTTTGTGGTCTCATCCAACATAGTTCTGATCTTTTTTTGTCTTGAAGTCAGAACGCTGCCATCACTTTTGTTTCCTTTTTTGTGTATTAACACCATTCTTAATTTATCTTTTTACCTTATGACTGTCACTTTGCTGACTTTTGTCTTGCATATATTGTTTGCTCAATATTATTTTTGCCCTCTTTTCTTTCTCTTATGATTGCTTATTGCAAACTTTGTAAATTCTGTTTGTTGGTCAATTCTGCCAATTCCATTTCACCATAAGCCAATTACTATACAATATGTTATGAAATATTTTGGTATTTTTTCGTGATGTCAAGGAACACTCATTGCCACTTTCATAATGCTCATTGTAGTTGAGACTTTGTAATCACAGATACAACTATAGTAATGTCATCGAACAATACTAGTGTCAGAGGTCTTCGAATAACACTCGCACTAATAGTACTTGCTTGATAATAGTGGCTTGAAAAGTAACCACCAAATGGTAATACATATAGTGATCAGTACTGAGAAATAGTATAGTGAATAGTAATAGAGGTTAGAATAGAAGTGGTGATCAATTAGACGTCACGCTAATTCCAAAATATACATTACCTTTTAGATCACGTGATCTACTTATTCAAAATGGGATCACCTGTGTTTGGTATCTGGCGATCTGTGTTCAAACCCAAGTGGTTGGAAGATTCCTGGAGATACTGAACCATGCCATTTTGATACCTGTCAGCAACTTCCTTATATTTGTAGGGACAGGATCTTGCATGTGAATACTCATCGCTACATCCAATAAGAGCTCGATTGGGTTCATAGCAAGGAAACATGGTGGTTACTGCATTCACAAGAAGTGTTTCTAAAATGCCCCCCCCCCTCAACAATTTTGGCAACTGATAATATGATGCATTTTTTTGGTGGAATAACACTTTCTTATTCAGATACTGTGCAGAAAAAATCCACATCTTCAAAAAAGGCTGAGGGCATGTGCTTGCCAATGCCATTGACTCAGGGACACAAAGAAAAACCAGGTAGTCTCATTCCATTGTTTATAACAGAAAATGGTTGATGGAAAAGCCTGGATGTGCTGTCTCCTGGGTTACTGAATTGGATTAGTGTACCTGTCTTTGAAGGCATATAAAGTCCATGGAATTGAACACAACATTTTTTTGTGGACATAAAAAGTTAAACTTATATATAGACTGAAAAGGCATGTGAAAAATAAAAATATAACATATAGAGCTTTTAAATTAAAAAAATTAGATCAGTCAATTGTGCTACCTTGGTTTCAACCTTTCGGTATCATCAGGCAGTTTGTATCAATTGATTTCCTAATGCCATATTTTAAAAAAAATTATTAATGAATGCTATATTATATTAAAAAATAAACAAACGAATGCACAGCATTGAGTATGAAGGGAAGGGGAGGATCTGAAGGAGGAATGAAAGGGTATTGTAAATGTATTGGCGAGGAGCAGGGTAATTGAAATGTACATATTTTTTATCCAGCTTCAGATGAAATTAAGAGGAATTTGATTGTATGGATGCAATGCTTCATAACTTCGGGCCTTTGATTCAAAAAGTTTTTTGGGTCTGGAAATGTCATTGCTAACTTTTGTTGGTAGTGGAATCCACTGATCACCTAATTTTTTAATATATATATATTTCATTGAATATGACAGACAAGGTGCATTTTAATTTTTTATACAATTTCTCATGTGATCTAATAATTTTTTCTTTTCGGATGGTAAGTTATATAAAAACTGTCCGAATGTTGTTTATCTGAGCGCTTTCGGCTATACATTTCGCCAATTTCAAGCATTAAATATTTTAACTGTTAAATAAAAAAATAACTCAATTAGATCTCATTTAAATATTCATGGAGACGTACCGGACACTATTCATAACATACTTGTTGACAACACTAATATAATGGCATCCCTACATGCAAAAAAAGGCTAAAAATAATGGAAGCCTTATTAATAAAAACAAAAAACCAACACTTAATAATATTTACTTTGGACATGGACACAATATCTTGACCGTGTTTTGAAAATTGAAAACATTATATAAATACATACATGCAACAAACTATTTTTTATTTAACAGTTAAAATATTTAATCCTTGAAAATGGCTAAATGTATAGCCACAAGCACTCGGATGAAAAGAACGTTTCGACAGTTTTTATATAATTTATCATCCAAAAAGAAAAACATTATTAGATTGCATGAGAAATTATATAAAAACTAAATAAAAGCACCTTGTTTGTCATATTCAATGAAATGTGCATAAAAGAAGGATTGCTGCAAATTTAGCTTCAATTTTTGAAACATGGTAATTTCTGTGTAGCGAAGGAACCATATTTTTAAATCAGTTAATTTATAATATATATGAAATTACGAAATCAGCCAATTCTGCTGACTTGGTTTCAACCTTTTGATATCTTCAGGCAATTTTGGTCAATTGATTTCCTAACACTTTTTATTTTTTTAAAAAAATAATAATTTATGAATGCTATATTCTTAAAAAAATAAATGAACAAGCATAAAATGTAAGGAGTGGTAGGTGAGGTGAGGAAAATCAAATGTATATAAAAGAATAAATACTGAGACTAAATAAACATTTGTTCCTCATCGTTTGCACCAAACCGGTGAGGAACAAATGTTTATCTAGTCTTAGTATAAATTTTAGTTATGTTATTTTACAAGTACGGTTTTATTATTACAACCAACACTCATGCTATTTGGTGCGCACACACACACATATATATATATATATATATATATATATATGACTGTGTGTATGTCTCTCTTTTTCTCTCTCTCTGCCATTGGATATTGCGGTCATATCTAGTCTGATGCTTCTGCTATATATTTCAAGATTCTTGACAAAATTCAAAGAAGTGTCTGTATGTCTAATGTAATTGATCCTGCCATGTCATCTCGACTTCTGTAACTTTTTCACTGCCGTAATCTAGATTTTGTCTGTCTCTTCTACAAATATTTTCATGGCAATTATGAGCATTCCTCCTTGGTGCCTTGACTGCATGCATTTAGGCATGATACTAAATTGGCTGATAGGTCCCACCATTTTATTGTTGAATTATCTAGATGCAACCATTTGTTTTATTCTAATAGTTTCTTTTCTTGCTATTCTGGTCTGTGAAACAATCTTTCCATTTTTTTTTCTTCCCTGCCACCTGCAATCTTCAAAAATTTAAACACAATGTCAGTCACCATCTTCTGTCTTCCAGAATTATTTTCTTGTCCTCTTTCACTCCCACTAACCCTCTTGCCTCCTACTGGCATTATTGCCTTGCTTGGGGTGAAATGATTAAAAAAAAGTGGAATTAAAAATGTGACTGTCACCCTTTTTCCTCTCTCTGATATATATATGTGTGTGTGTTTCTCTCTTTGTGTGTGTCTCTCTCTTTTATATGTGCGTGTATGTGTCTCTTTTATATGTGCGTGTATGTGTCTCTTTTGTATGCGTGCGTGTGTGTGTCTCTTTTGTGTGCGTGCGTGTGTGTGTCTCTTTTGTGTGCGTGCGTGTGTGTGTCTCTTTGTGTGCGTGCGTGTGTGTGTCTCTTTTGTGTGCGTGCGTGTGTGTGTCTCTTTTGTGTGCGTGCGTGTGTGTGTCTCTTTTGTGTGCGTGCGTGTGTGTGTCTCTTTTGTATGCGTGCGTGTGTGTGTCTCTTTTGTATGCGTGCGTGTCTGTCACTCTTCTTTTGTGCGTGTCTGTCACTCTTCTTTTGTACATGTGCGTGCACGTCTCTCTCTCTCTCTCTTGGATGTGTACGCGCGTGTCTCTCTCTGTTGTATATGTGCGCGTGGTGCGTGTCTCTCTCTTTTGTATATGTGCGCGTGGTGCGTGTCACTCTCTTGTATATGTGTGTGTGTGTGTATCTCTTTTTTTTGTATATGTTTGTGTGTGTATCTCTTTTTTTTGTGCGTGTGTATCTTTTTTTTTTTTATGTTTGTGGGTGTTTGTGTATCATTTTTTTTGTATATGTATGTATGTGTGTGTATCTCTCTTTTTTATTTTTATATATATATATATGTATATGTATGTGTGTGTGTGTGTGTGTGTGTGTCTGCCTCTCTTTTCATATATATATATATATATATATATATATATATATATACACACATTCTTCTTACAGTCCATTTCTGTCTTCCATCATGCTTATTAATAAATATGGTTGTATTTATGTATATATAATAATATCCAAGATAAACTTTGTCCACTCTGTTGTCGAATGAAAACCAGCAGTAGTGTTTCTCACACATCTAAAATTATCCAAAGCAAATTTGCTTAGAATAGAATATCTGACTTTTGTGCACTTTGAAATATAATGAAATGAGAGAGAAAGGGAAAAATAAAGTGGATAAATATTTGTGAAAAAAACTTGAGTCCTGAACTGCAGTTTGGATGGCAGTTCGTTATAAAATAAACTTATTATCTACTTTTGGTGGTAAAAAGAGAAGACTAAGCATGAGATTTTCATGATTCACTTAGTCATTCCAGGATTCTACATATTATGATCAGTGGCAATATTTACCGATCAGACTTTAATTTGTAGTAAGTATATGACTTTTTTTTTTTTTTTTTTTTTTTTTTTTCCAAAGGTGTTTAATTGTCTAACTGTATTTGTTGGATTGAGAAAAATCCTAGGATTATTATTTTCACTTTTGCTGTTTTTATCTTTCTTTTTTAATCTTTCTGTTTTGGTCCAAAATATTTTGTAAAATGACACTCAAAATGGTTAACGATGGTAAATAATTATTTATTAAGAATGACCTTTTTAAAAAAATTGTTGGGTAGAACTAAAAGCAACAGGAATGAGGCTAAGTAAAAAAAAAAAAAAATGAGTGAATATTACAAAAATAATATAATTATGTTAAAAAAATCTTTGATTAGAAATGTTGTAAAGAAATAAAAAAAAAAAGAAAAAATCTTGGTATTATATTGTGAGATATTATTTCCTCTTTTTTAAATAAAAAGCCAATTTACGCTATTAACATTATTCGGACTATTGTTCTCATCTTTGTCACCATATTAATTACAACGTTTCGGCCGTTGTACGCTCCAGCCTTCTTCAGTATCTGTCTATATTTCTGAGATGAGGTATTATGTACACTATTTAAATTATTCAGACTATTGTTCTCATCTTGTCGCCATATTTATCCCAACGTTTCGGACGTTGTACTCTCTGGCCTTCTTCAGGTGGTTGGAATGTTGGACTGAACCCTTCATTTCGCTCACTGGGGTAGACTGTTCTAGTTCCACATGCCATGTCTAATGGATGTCAGCTATCAGTTATCTCCTGCTTAATTTCCTCTCCAAGTTCTCCACCACCTTAACCAGGTATTGAACTCGCACTCTTTGGTGCATAGAACTAGAACAGTCTACTCCAGTTCAGTTCGACATTCCAACCACCTGAAGAAGGCCGGAGTGTGCAACAGCCGAAACATTGTAATAAATATGTCAACAAAGATGAGAACAATAGTCCAAATAATGTAAATAGTGTACATAATACCTCATCTCAGAAATATAGACAGATACAAAAGCCAATTTGTTTTGTAATCATTAGAATAAAGAAGTAAATAGGTTCAACTATTGCCCTGTTCATTCTCCTCCTCTTTTGGACAAAAGTAGTTTTATCTCTTGTTTCCTGTTTAGAGTTAGGTTTTCAGTTCTTTTACTCACAGTGGCCCCTTGCATTTTAGTGGCATTATCACCTTGCTTGGGTTTGAATTGATTTAAAAAAAAAAACAAAAAAAACAACACAATTTCACATTACAGGCTGTGGAGTGTAAAATCTTTCTTTTTAATTTTTTTTTTTTTTTTAAATGAATCTTTATTTCTTCTCTCAGCTGGATTTGAACCTAGTCAAATGTCTCCAGACTCACCATATAGCTTAATCTAGCATTTTAACATTTTTGTATGATTTATATTTCTCCAACTTTAGACACAAATTTAAGATGAGAAACGCACAAAAGATGCTAAGAACATGTTATCTTGAAATCTGAGATATAAGTTTATGAAAACTGAGGATATTTAAAAAGAAAAAAAAAGAAGTAAAATAAGGGATGAATAGGAATTTCATCAACATTGAAGTTAAGTGTAATTTAAAAAAGATGTCATTAAATACATTTATTTATATCTAAATATATTAGTCTTTTTTTCCATGACTGCTGCAAGATCTCCTAAGTTCTGTCAAAATGGTGGTTTTAGCAATGGGCTTCATCTTACCATCTAGTTTCAGGATCTGTTACAAGAGTAGTCTTTTTCTTACACTGCTTTCTGCAGCGAAGCTAAAGAGCCTAGACAGCACTGCTATTTTACTCACAGATAGTAGGTGAAAAAATAGATTTGTGCTTTTTCCAAAGGCATTATCAATTCCATTTCCCTCACTGATATCTTAGACCCACTCCATGCATCCACTAATATATATATATACTCTAACACACACGCTGTTCGAACTGTCGTCCTCATCTTTGTTGCTATATTTATCACAACGTTTTGGCTGTTGTACGCTCCAGCCTTCTCCAGGTGGTTGGAATGTTGAACTGAACCTTTTATATTGCTCGCTGGGGTAGACTGTTCTAGTTCCATGTGTCATGTCTGATGGATGTCAGTTATTTCCCCTCCCCAAGTTTTCCACCGCCTTAACCAGGTATTGAACTCACTCTTTGGGTCCGGTCACTGGATCTAACGAATGCCTTTATCCACTGTGTCATGTGTCCTTAAGGTTATATATATATATATATATATATATTTTTTATATATATATATATATATTAGTTCAACATATTTTTATGACTTGAAACATTAATTTTATTGGTTACCCATATTTAAGTCAACTCTGTATTTATTTATTAAATAGTATTTTATTTTGTCTAAAGGCCAGAACATTCAATAAAAAAACACACCTGACAGGATTCAGACCTGATACCGTTAAAATCAAATGGAGCCTTGCTTGATCATGACACTCTTTGTGGCCAAGTTGGTTAAAGCACATTGATTGAAATGATGTTTTTTTTTCTGCAAAGAGGGATGCAAGTTCAAATACTGCCAGAAGGTTCATTTTACTTCAATGACAATTTCTCAAATGTTCAGGCCCATAAATGAAATATAATATTGTTTAAAAAAAAAAAAAACTGAGCATATACTCAAATATAGGTATCCACTAAAAATAATGTTTAATATATATATATATATATATATATATATATATGCACATTAAACGTTATTTTTAGAACACCCACCAAAAATCTCTAAATATAAAAAATAGGGAAAAAAAATGCCGTAAGAATTTTTGCCGTTAACAATAAAAAATTTTTAAAAATCCAGACGAGATGCATTTAACGGATGTTAGATTTCATTGAAAAATACATCCCTACCCCCTCCGAACCATAACAAATAACTGATACATCAAAACATAGACAAAATGAACGCACAGTCACCCCTAGTCTAGTGAAAGTGGTTTTATCTGTATCCTTGGAAACATGAATTATGATTTTAGCTGTGTCTTTAAAACCCAGTAATCTTAAAAGTTACTCCAAAATTCGCTTGAGGATGAAATGGAATTAATGTCTTTAATTTAATTACAAAATTAAATTCTGAGCTTTTAGCTTCCATTTTTGAAACCTGGTTAGAACTGTGTAGCAGAAAAAAAAACATTTTAAATCAATTAATTTATAATATATATATATATACACACACACACACACACACACACACACACACACACACATACAGGGTGCAATTTTATATTCTTAATTTCATGCATGTGTGTTGTTTGTTTTAGATTTTGTCAACTGCACAATATGGTAGGGTCAGCTGGGCACTGTCTGTGAGAAAAAGACCACCATGACGTAATTCACTCTGCCAGAAATTTGAAAACAATATGCTTGGCATTCCTGTTGGAAGCTCCAATAAAAATGTCAGAATGAGTTTGATGAGTCTAATGGTGATTACAAAGGTACAACAGCTTGAAAAACTCACTCTGAATATTCTGATAAGAAAAGGACTCTTGAATTTGTTGAGGGCCTCAGACTCAACATTGGAGGCCTACATCAAATGCTTTGAGAAAGTAGTGCTGCCCTGGGTCAAGAGGGTGGCTTCTGGAAGGCCCTATGTCTGGCAACAGGAATCTGCACCATACCACACAAGCAGGAAAACTCAGTTATGGTTGTCAGGCGATTTCTGCAACAGCATCACCCCTTACATCTGACCACCTAACTCCCCAGACTGCAACCCCCTTGATTATTATGTTTGTGGTGCTGTTGAGGAAGAGACCAACAAAACTCCTTGTAAGACCAAAGATGAACTGAAGGCAAGGATTATGGCAGCATTCATCAACTTATACAAGGAGACCGTCCAGAAGAGTTGCAGGAGACTCTGAAGTCATGTGGAAGCTGTGGTTGAAGCCAATGGCAATTTTATTGAACAAATTTACCTTTTCCTATTTCAAGATATTTTTGTGTAATTTTGGTAAATATATCTGTTAAAATGAGATGTTAGTTTCATTTTTTCTGTAATTTAGATAACAATTTATCTATTGTACCCTGTATATGCCCAACTCTTTTCAATTCCTCTGCACTGTCCTCAGATTGACACCTAAACAATGTGAAATGTTTGTATTGTATCTCCAGGCCAAATGCAAAGCAATACAGCATGCCATTTCCAAATTTCTGGCAGAGTGTATTATGTCATGGTGCACTTTTTCTCACAGATGGTGCCCAACTGACCCTACTATACTTTGCAGTTGACAAAATCAGAAACAAACAATACATGGGCACAAAATTAAAAATATAAAATGGTGCTAATTTACCCAACACACCCTGTGTGTATGGGTATATATATATATATATATATATGTGTATATGCACATACACACGCATACATACGCACATATGAAATACAGGCGTATAAGTTTTTACCCAAAAGTTTGTTAAATTCTTTGAATTTTTGGGTCATATTTTATATGTGAACTAATGTTAAACATTTTTTTCTTTTTTTTAAAAAAAAAACCTTAAGAATAATGATTATTTCTCTTGAGTAGTAGAATCTTGAGTTTATTGTCTGATAGTTACAGAATTTGAACATAACTGGTTTTCATCAAACAGTGTGGAATCTGACATATTGGTGAGATATATTTTGTCAGCCGTTTTTCCCAATACTTTGGAATCAAAAACTGGAGAATTTTGCAGAATTCAAGCCAAAAGTTGTCACAATCCAGCCAAGTGGAAATGAAGAATGTGCACTTGTCAGACATCATGGCAACATTTTCAGGAAGACTATCTGGAAGTATATAAAGTTCCATTTTTAATTAATTTGGATATTTTAAGGTCTTGGAATTGGTAAAAAGAAATTGGCTACATTGAATTTAATAAAGAAAACAGATATTTTCGTGTTCTCTCTTTCTGTGTGCACTCTCTCTGTCAAATATTTCCACCCTCTCTCTCTGTCACATATCTCCACCCTCTCTCTCTGTCACATATCTCCTCTTTCTCTCTCTGTCACATATCTCCACTCTCTCTCTCTCTGTCACATATCTCCTCTCTCTCTCTGTCACATATCTCCTCTCTCTCTCTGTCACATATCTCCTCTCTCTCTCTGTCACATATCTCCTCTCTCTCTCTGTCACATATCTCCTCTCTCTCTCTCTCTCTGTGTCACATATCTCCACTCTCTCTCTCTGTGTCACATATCTCCACTCTCTCTCTCTGTGTGTCACATATCTCCCTCTCTCTCTCTGTGTCACATATCTCCTCTCTCTCTCTGTGTCACATATCTCCTCTCTCTCTCTCTCTCTGTGTCACATATCTCCCTCTCTCTCTCTCTGTGTCACATATCTCCTCTCTCTCTCTCTCTCTGTGTCACATATCTCCCTCTCTCTCTCTCTCTGTGTCACATATCTCCCTCTCTCTCTCTCTCTGTGTCACATATCTCCCTCTCTCTCTCTCTGTGTCACATATCTCCACTCTCTCTCTCTCTGTGTCACATATCTACACTCTCTCTCTCTCTGTGTCACATATCTACACTCTCTCTCTCTCTGTGTCACATATCTCCACTCTCTCTCTCTCTGTCACATATCTCCACTCTTACTCTCTCTCATAATCTCCACGCTCACCTTCCTATTCTCAGCTCTCTCTCTCTCACATATTCCCCCTCTCTCTCTCTCTCTCCATATTCCCACTCTGTTTCCTATTCTCTCTCTCTCTCTGTGTCACATATCTCCCTCTCTCTCTCTCTCTGTGTCATATCTCCACTCTCTCTCTCTCTCTGTGTCACATATCTCCTCTCTCTCTCTCTGTGTGTATCTCCCTCTCTCTCTCTCTCTCTGTGTCACATATCTCCCTCTCTCTCTCTCTGTGTCACATATCTCCCTCTCTCTCTCTCTGTGTCACATATCTCCACTCTCTCTCTCTGTGTCACATATCTCCACTCTCTCTCTCTGTGTCACATATCTCCACTCTCTCTCTCTGTGTCACATATCTCCACTCTCTCTCTCTCTGTGTCACATATCTCCACTCTCTCTCTCTCTGTGTCACATATCTCCACTCTCTCTCTCTCTCTCTCTGTCACATATCTCCACTCTCTCATCTCACTCTCTCTCATAATCTCCACGCTCACCTTCCCCCCATTCTCAGCTCTCTCTCCTCCACATATTCCCACTCTGTTTCATATCTCCACTCTCTCTCTCTGTGTCACATATCTCCACTCTCTCTCTCTCTCTGTGTCACATATCTCCACTCTCTCTCTCTCTCTGTGTCACATATCTCCACTCTCTCTCTCTCTGTGTCACATATCTCCACTCTCTCTCTCTCTGTGTCACATATCTCCACTCTCTCTCTCTGTGTCACATATCTCCACTCTCTCTCTCTGTGTCACATATCTCCACTCTCTCTCTCTCTGTGTCACATATCTCCACTCTCTCTCTCTCTCTCTCTGTCACATATCTCCACTCTTACTCTCTCATAATCTCCACGCTCACCTTCCTATTCTCAGCTCTCTCTCTCTCCCACATATTCCCGCTCTCTCTCTCTCTCATATATTCCCACTCTGTTTCATATTACCACTCTCTCTCTCTGTCTCTGTGTTACATATTCCCACTTTGTTATATGTCTCTCTCTCTCTTATACTACCTCCTCTCTCTTTCTCTCATATTGTCCCCACTCTCATCCCCCTCTCTTTTTCTCCCCTCTCTCTCCCCACTCTATCTACTCTTATACGGTCATATCAAAACTACACATAATAAACTGAATGAAATTTATTTGGGGGACAGATGTATTCATTGTAATATTTCATTAATATATAAATAAATATATTGGAATGTATTACTCACTCAAGGGAATACATATATGAGGGGGTGCTGAAAAGTTCTCTGACAAAAAGCCCTTAAAAAAAAATTGATGTTGGGCCATTTGGATGGAATTGAAAACTTCTCAGCATCTTCCATAGTAACATGGAATGATTGGTAGGAGGGGAGATTATTGTTGGATCTTTGTGCTGACTGTATTTCAAATTGGTGCATTGACAAGTTCTCAGCTTTTCTTATTGTTGCCCACTGGCTTTATCACTACTCTCAATGACCCGCCAAGTAAATGTTTACTGCACTAATGTTTGACTGAAAATTTGTTTTGGCTTTCTTGAACTGTAATTTATGCTTTTGTTTTGATTTTTTTTTTTTTCTCATTTCACCCCAAGCAAGCTAATAAAGCCACTAAGACACAAGGAAAGAGAACAATTAAAAGAATAAGAATTAAGAAGACAGTAGATAACAATTGACATTGCATTTAAATTTTTGAAGATCAAACTTGACTTGCAAGCAAGAAGCCAAAAGTGTCTCACAAGTGAGTGGTGCAAGAGAAGTAACTTTTAGCCTAGAACTTAGGGTTACATCTAGCCATTTCAATTGTAAAATGACAAGACCTAGCTTCCAATCTAGTACTGAACTTAAATTCATAGTCTAGGTACCATAATGCAAAGTAATATTTATTTCATTTTAATACAAGTGTGGCACAAGGCCAAAAGAGGGGATAGGGAAAGGCTGGTCTTCAATCTTATCTTAAAACTTAGCTAAGCATGATTACTGATCCAAACAAAGCACACAGTATCCCTTACATCAAAACCACAGAGCCACAGTATTCCTGACTCCAAAATAACACATCATGGAAAAAGAGAGTAATCAGAAGGACAGTAGATAGCAATTGACATTGCATTTAAATTTTTACAGATTAAAGTTGGCTGGAAAGGATGGAGTCAGAAGGGAGTTCTGCAAATTGGGAAGTATGAGAAAAGAAACTGTTAGCATAGAATTTACGGTTTAAATCCAGCCAGCTCAATTGTAAATTGATTAGATGTTGATGCCAGTCTTGTACTGCACTTAAATTCTTAAAGTCTAGGTACCAAAGAGGAAAGCTCATCAGAACAATTACCATGAAAATATAGAAAAGGCAGAGGGAAGCAACTTTACAGTGGTGGGATAGTGACTGAAACAGAGACAAATCTGTTGCAGAAAGTTGGCTGGAAAGTATAGAGTCAGAAGAGAGTTCCACAAGCAAGGAGTGTGAGAAAAGAAACTGTTAGTATAAAACTAGCCAATTCAACTGTATATTGATGAGACCGCATCGCCAGTCTAATACTGCACTTAAATTCATAAAGTCTAGGTACCAAAGTGAAGAGCTCATCTGAGCAATTACCATGAAAGTATTTGTAAAAAAGGCACTGAAATTCTTGATTTGTGAGTTCAATCTCTGGGTCGGGCATTGTATGCTTGAATTCTGTGGAAATAGGGTGTGCAATAGGTGACCAGTACTAAAAATAAGAACTAAATGATATATTCCTAGACGTGGGTAGGGAAATAGACTACCCACTATAGATTCAATAAAGGGTTCAGTTTGGAGTTCTTGCTAAGTTACCCAGATCCACATATACTTGAAGACCGGAGTGCACAGTGGATAAAATATTGTGATAAAAACAAAGATCATGACAGTAGTCTAGATATAAGGAGTGCAAATAACTCAGAAATTTAGACGGAAATTAAACTAATTATCTCATATTTTTGGTAATCGGTATTTATACCTTTTTGTATTTATTCCACCAAAAAGTTTTATATCTATTTTTTTTTTTTTTTTTTTTTTTTTTTTTTTTTTTTGATATACTTTTCTGCAGAAAAATATATCTGGACAGGCTTAAATGTTTTTGCTTATAAATTCCTTGTTTGGTATTCTAATCTAAATTCTCCAACGTGAATATTAAGCCAAGACTCCAGTGAAACTTATATGCAGGAGAAATCTGTTATTCTTAGAAGAATTCTGAAAATAACCTATCAAGATAGAATAACAAGGCAGTCGTCCAATGCGCACCCACATGAAAAGTTCATTACTGAGAACATTAAATATGAAGAGAGAACTTGAATTCCTTGGTTAATCAGAAAGAGAGAAAAAATGGCATAAGTCTGGGAATATTGGAAGACAAATAAGAAAATAGATGGCTGTGAAAGAACTCAAAAACCCAAAGACCTCATTGATGCTGCAAGAGATCATTTGATATAGAGAGACATGGTTGTCCAAGCATGCAATATGCAAGGCAAATGATGTTTTTATATATATATATATATATAGTAGAATGCTTGACAACTGGACTAAGAAGGCCTTCCGGATATGAGGAATTCATTAGAAAGTCCGGATATGAGGTATTATATTTAGATTAAAATAAAAGAACTGAAATCAGGTTTAACATTTATTTTCAATGTTTATAGTAAACAAAATAAGCTAATGGTGAGTGAAATATAACAGAATTGTTTTTAAGGAAAAAGAAATAAATTATGTAATTTTAATGAAAATTCTTTAAGTATGCTCTGTATTCAAAACAAACAATGTAACGAGGATTTTTTAATCGCTGTTGCATGATGATTCTTTCTCTTCTAAAGTCATTCTCAATTTTTTTCCCACATTTCATTTTGGTTTTGTTCGAGAAATTTTTTTAAGTGAAAGACACTTTCTAACTCTGCATGTGTTATTGTAATCATTATAGCTGAATGATGGCTTTCTTTCCATAAAACTGACAACCTTTTCAATAGCTTTTACAATTTCAGTCCAGGTTCATCATGCATTTTGTCACTATCTTGTTGCAGATGTGTCTTGTGGTCATCCTTTCCTCTTATTCCCATCATCTTTTGCACCAATACAAGCCATTTGGGTGATATAAGCAATTAGCCAAAGTAAATGTCCTCAAAAACAGAAATTTCCAATCGGTTACATATCACCCAATTAGTTCAAATATACACATGAAAATCATGCCCGAATATGAGGGAGTCTACTCTGTGTGTGTGTGTGTGTGTATATATATATATATATATATATATATATATATATACATTTACACATTATATATATATATATATATATATATATACACACATTCACACACATTATATACATATATATATATATATACATTCACACACATATATATATATATATATATATATATATATATTAAGCAAATTTTATGGTATAGTGTAAAATTTGGGGTCAAAGATAGTACTTGAAAGGTGTTTTGATTGTTTCGTTGAAAAGAATGTTTCATTTTCTTCATTAATCACATTTCTGAAAAAACATAGAAGTCCAACAGAAAATATAGTTTTATGAATTTTAAGTTTCATTTTCATGTCTCCCCATTTCAAATTCAAGCAAATCTTCATCTTTGGATGATATATGGATGGCATCAGGGTTAGAAATCTCACAAAGCAAGGTGGTTTCTGCCTGACAGAGGTTTTCTTGTAATAATGATTTGATGTAAGGTTTTACAAGACTGGATACTCTTTCTGACACACAACTCAGACACTTATAGTAGTCCATGTACATAGTGTTTTATTGATACACCATCTCTAGGAAGGTTGCAATTCAAGGCTTGGGACACCATCCTAGCCTTGTCTTCATATAAGTTCTTTTCTGGATATAAATTTAATGATTATTTGTTTGCCTGCATATGCACACCAGCACATGTGTACACGCCTGCTTATAATTGGCCATTTAATTTATTCACTATATATATATATATATATATATATATATATATATATATATATAATTATTTATTTAAAAATATGATTCCTCCACTCTGAGTTCTCATGTTTCAAAAACAAGAGCTGAAAACTTCAATATAATTTTTATAATTAAATTGAATTAAAGTACCAAGCTCTGTTCAAAAATTTCGCTTGAAGATAAAACAGCGCTTGGTACTTTAATTCAATTTAATTCTAATAATTATATTGAAGTTTTCAGGTCTTGTTTTTGAAACATGAGAACTCTTAGCCGTGGAATCGTATTTTTTAAAAAATAATTATAATTTAGGCTCTACGTTTGTATCAAGCACTGTTTTTTTTAAATAAAAACAAAAGTACTAAAGAAGTTCGCATTATTTACCTAACGAGTTCTTTCCTATTTTCTATATATTTTCATATATATATATACACACACACACGGCCTGAAGATTGTGTTCAAGCATGAATCAGACTATTGGTGCTTGGTGTTGACCTCAGTGTCCATTTTTATAATTATATAGGCTCTGTCTTTGATATTTAGCACTTTTACCCATGAATATACCATAGCTTAAAACTATATATATTGTTAAACATATAAAGAAACTATCTAATCTCCATCTGCAACATCATTGTAAAAATTACAACTATAATAGCCTCATCCATATATAATAAAGATTAAAATTAATAAAATGCCAGCACTCAATAACATCAATTAGGAACATGGTCACAATGTACTGACCATGTTTAGAAAATAAAATAAAAAATTTCATATCTCTAGATACATGCAAAAAACTCTGTACATTTAGTTAAAAATTATAACATCCTTGATAATGGCTAAAAGAATAGCCAGAAACACTCAGATACACAGAATATTTGGACAATTTTTACACTCTTTATGCCCAGAATAAATACCTAGCTGAGTGAGTACTTGGATGTGCAGGTGGTGTAATGGATAAAGCTTGGAATTAGAAGTAGAGCAGTTTCAATTCCAGCCGGGTTCATTTTATTTACTTATGAGCAAATACTCTTGGAAAAGGTATGAATCCGTCTATTCTCCCCCAGCTATGGGTTAATTAGTAGGACTTGTATCAATAAATCATTATCTCTAAAATATTCTTACAGTCTAAAAAAAAATATTTTCTGGGTTTTAATAACCTGCAAAATGTTGATAAATCATAAAAAA